GCTGGAAGAGTCGAAGAGAGTCGAAGGGAGTCGAAGGGAGTCGAAGGGAGTCGAAGAGAGTCGAAGGGAGTCGAAGAGAGTCGGGAAGCGACGGTGCCACTGCTCCATCCTCAGGCGTGCCGCGAATGCGACGAGGCGGCGCGAGCAGCCGAGGCGGCGGGCGGCGCCGGAGGCGGCGGCGGAGGCGGAGGCGGAGGCGGAGGCGGAGGCGGAGGCGGCGGCGGAGGCGGAGGCGGAGGGGTGGGTTTGGCGCGGGGCCCGCCGCCGCCGCCGCCCAAGCCTTGCTGCCCGCGCCCTCCCGCCAACCTCGCGTGCTCTTTCGTCGGCGGCGCGTCGGGCGGCACGCTGCTGCTCCAGGCGAGACACTTCCGAGACACTTCCGAGACACTTCCTAGACACTTCCTAGACACTCCTACTGCCTCGGGCGGCACGCTGCTGCTCCAGGCGAGACACTTCCGAGACACTTCCTAGACACTTCCTAGACACTCCTACTGCCTCGGGCGGCACGCTGCTGCTCCAGGCGAGACACTTCCGAGACACTTCCGAGACACTTCCTAGACACTGCTACTGCCTCGGGCGGCACGCTGCTGCTCCAGGCGAGACACTTCCGAGACACTTCCGAGACACTTCCTAGACACTCCTACTGCCTCGGGCGGCACGCTGCTGCTCCAGGCGCGCGGACTCGACGGCAGCGGGGCTATCCCCTTCCCCTGCCCCTTGACCCCCCTGCCCCTTACCACCTGCCCCTGCCCCTTAGCCCCTGCCCCTGCCCCTTAGCCCAACCCCTACCCCCACCCCTACCCCCAGGCCCGTGCCATGAACGGCAGCGGCGCGCTGTACGCGCGCGGGGGCGCCGCCGACGCTGACCTGTTTCGTGGCGGAGGCGGAGGCGGCGGGAGGGTGTGGATGAGCCGTTGCCCGGAGGCGGCGGCGAGGGCGGCGTCGGCGAAGCCGGCGGCGGCGAAGCTGCGAGTCGACGCTAGCGGCGGTGCGGCGGTGCGGCGCGGCGGCGGCGGCGGTTCCCTGGCGGCGGACAGCTGCGAGGACGGGGGCGCAGGCTCGGTCTGGTATGAGGAGTGCGAGGGTCGGCCGTCCGTGCTCTGGTTCGACAACGGCGCGGACTTTGACGCCTTCGCCTCCGCCGACTCTTCGATCGCCGGCTGGCCTCCGAACGGTGCGTTGCGCGGGGGGCGGGGGGGGGCGACTCTTGGGCGCAAAACTCGTCATAGCATGTGGGGGACGGGCCCGCACGCGCACACTCCACACTCTCTCGCTGCGATCGACTGGCTCGCGAGCCAACACGAGGCAACACACTGCCACCGGCCGTATCATTTGGGCCCGGACTGCTGGACGCACAGATCGCAGCTCACAGGGGAGATACGGGGAGATATGGGCCCGGACTGCTGGACGCACAGGTCGCAGCTCACAGGACAGCTCACGAGGCGGGTGTAGTGTTGTATAGTATAGTACAGGACAGGACAGCACAGGACAGCTCACGAGGCGGGTGCGACTCGTCGCATTGGCGTAAGTCCAGCGGCACTGCAGAGCGGAATCGAACGACCACCCGCAGAGCCAAGAGAACGGAGATCTGAGGAGATCTGCCACCCAAGCCTCCGGCCCGCGCCTCTCCTCCTCCCGACGTCCTCGTGGACGCGACGCCGTGAGCCGACTCTAGGCGAGACACTTCCGAGACACTTCCTAGACACTTCCTAGACACTCCTGCGTCCTCGGAGTGGACGCGACGCCGTGAGCCGACTCTAGGCGAGACACTTCCGAGACACTTCCTAGACACTTCCTAGACACTCCTGCGTCCTCGGAGTGGACGCGACGCCGTGAGCCGACTCTAGGCGAGACACTTCCGAGACACTTCCTAGACACTTCCTAGACACTCCTGCGTCCTCGGAGTGGACGCGGCGCCGTGAGCCGACTCTAGGCGAGACACTTCCGAGACACTTCCTAGACACTTCCTAGACACTCCGACGTCCTCGGAGTGGACGCGGCGCCGTGAGCCGACTCTAGGCGAGACACTTCCGAGACACTTCCGAGACACTTCCGAGACACTTCCTAGACACTTCCTAGACACTCCCACGTCCTCGGAGTGGACGCGACGCCGTGAGCCGACTCTAGGCGAGACACTTCCGAGACACTTCCGAGACACTTCCTAGACACTCCACGTCCTCGGAGTGGACGCGCCGCCGTGAGCCGACTCTAGGCGCGCCGCATGGGGGGCGTTGGCCGCCGAGGCCGTTCTGTGCTGTGTGGATGTCCTTGCTAAATATCACATGTGCATGTCATTGTCGTGTGTGATCTCCCATAGGCCGATCCGCTCCTTGCACGTCCAGTCTGCGGTGCTTCGGCTGGACGAGTCGTCGTCAGCGCCGGGGCCAGACGCCCAAGAAGCGGAATGCGTATTCTTGCGTCTCCCAACTAGCGCTCGAGAGGGCGTACAATGCACACATACCTCCCCATCTCTCCCCATCTCTCCCCAGATCTCCCCAGATCTCCCCAGACCTCCCCAGACCTCCCCACATCTCGAGAGGACGCACAATGCACGCGACTGTATTCGAGCGTCGTGCGACGACTGTAGCCAAGCTGTCGTCGCAGCCCCTCGTACTCACGCGGTGCTCTGAACACACCGCACACTGCCGTCCTCCCGCCCCGAGGTTGGCGTCTTCAGCACGTGGGCAGGACACCCACCTTGGCTACCGCACCACCCACGGGACGGAACCCGCACTGGGTTCGACCACTCTGGAGGTGTGGTACACGTAGGCCGGGCGCGCACCTCGGCGCCTCCGTCGACCTCACCGACAACGCGCGGCTGCTTGTCGCGCGGGGCGAGACGGTGAAATCTCGCCACATCTCCCCACATCTCCCCACATCTCCCCACATCTCGCGAGGCTTGCTCGAGGCACCGCCGCCCCTCTCTCCCCCTCTCTCCCCCTCTCTCGAAGC